TATTTTTTAAAAATATCAACGATTAAGAATAAATATTTAAACTTCAGAATTATAAGATATATTCTCCTTAAAAAAAGCTGAAAATCTTGTTTAGATTCCCACGAGAAGTATACCACGTGAGTACGGATCCCTAAGAACTTGCCACGAGGTGACAGTAGGGGTGGAATCAGCAGGTTCTGCCAAGTATTGCATCCTAGTACGAGAATTAAAGAGCAGCTCGTCTTTGGCCAGCATGACAACTATTCCAGACCAATGTGGCCTTCATCGTCGACGACGTTCCGAATATACTTTCGAGATCTGCGAGGAAAAAGAAAATCCGCCGAAAGATCGAGCGCTTCCATTCACCCTTAAGAGGTTACAACCAGGAAAAGCTTATCTCTTACAAATCACAGCTCAATTAAAAGGACAATCTTTGTCTTATCCCTTGTTAACCGTACGCACTCGACGTTCCTGTCTACCTTGATAATAACGATTCTCATCAAAGAAAATAGGAATAATCAATGATGATCTTTGAAAAACGAATAATCTCGATTTAAATCATTACACTACATTTAGATCTTTTATCATTAAATCTTTTGTTTCGCCATTTTTAATATCTAATATTTCTCCTTTCTCGTTTATATCGGGATGGATGCATTAAAAAAAAAAAAATCAAAGAATTACTTATTTATTAATGTTTGTCTTTTGATAAATGGGTAACTCTTTCATGCATTAGGACAAAATATAATCAAAAAAATTTTTTGATTTAATATCAGTTCAAATCTTACAATTTTTTTTAGAATCCCACAGTTTTCCAAATTTATGTAAAAATTCAAAATGTTTAGGGTTTCTTATGGATTTTTATATAATTTTATAAAATTTTATAAAATAAGATTTTATAAAATTTTTTTATAATTAAAATTAAAATAGTTTCAAATATTTCAGATATTTCTAAAATTTATATGTATATTAATATGAAAATTAAATGATTTTATTAAATATTTTTCATTATAAATAATGAATGAAAAAAAATTTTTTTAACAATTTAAACCTAACAAAAATTTTATAAAATAGAAATTACTTGGAAATATCTATTTGTAGAACGTCTGACTTATTCCTCTTGGAAATCTAAAGAATCTCGTTAAGTATTACTCGCATTAGATTTTACTGTTTAAATGCATTTTATTTAAAACGTGCTTTTTCACTTCACTAAATATATTCCAATTGAATGACATCGGTCGCAAAAAAATTCCTAATGTTACCTAATGAAGAGAATTATTCTAAAGAAATATTATGTATATAATAACAAAGATATTTCTATTTTTGATAGTTCTCTTAATTTGAAAGTTTATTAACGAATTCATTTAAATAACCAAGATTTAGATACGAATCGATTGATGTACCATCAAATTCTATAAATTATTAAAATGCTTTCATTTCATTGTTTTTATCGTCATTAAAAATTAAATTCATCTGTTTATAGTTCATTTTAAAATTATTCTGAATAATATTTATATCCGAAAATAATATTTATCGATATCTATTTACTAAGCGAATCAATATGTTTATTATATCCGTTTTATTATAAAAGAACATTTTTTTTTTATCATGGAAAAACCGTTACTCCATTTCGAGGCTAAATCTAGTCTAGATTTACAAGCTATAACCCAATAATAATGTTTATTTGAAATTTATATTTTTTTTTTAATTTAAGACACATTTTTTACTTTTATTTTTACAACAAGCACATTCAACAATAATATTGTTTGATGTAGATATAGTTTACATTCACATTGTAAATAAAACGTTACCTTAACCAAATGTAACATGCAAAAACGAACTATAGAACTATATAGCACGGTGCTAATGATATATGTACTGTGTAATTAGTAGCTGCGATTCACTTTTATATCGTTAATATTACGATTGTTTATTTTGTATTACCGACAAAATGTCATTTTAAAACTATTTAAAAATAATATATCCTAATATATCTTAAAATAATTTTTACAAAAATTAAGAAGAATTATTACAATTTGTTGTTTAATATAAAATTATCTGTTGGATTATAAGATTTGATTTTGAAAATTAAACTTAATTTACTTTTTTTTT